GGTCCGGGGCCGGGAGGGGGGCAGTAGAGTTTCCCTGGTGTTGGCCAGAGTGGCCACCAGGGAAACCTGGGGAGGGCTAGCCTCCCACTAGTTCGAATTAAGGGGCTACACACCCCGTAATTCGAACTAGTAAGTTCGAACTAGGCTTAATCCTCCTAAAATGAGGTTTTCCTAGTTCGAACTAAGCGCTCCGCTAGTTCGATTCAAATTCGAACTAGCGGAGCGCTAGTGGGCCATCCTTAACCTCGGTTCAGGGTCCACTCAGTGTGGACATGCTAGTTCGAATTAGCAAAATGCTAATTCGAACTAGTTTTTAAGTCTAGATGCACTAATTCGAATTAGCTTAGTTCGAATTAACTAATTAGTTAAGTTAGTTAACTAAGTTAGTTCGAATTAGTGCTGTAGTGTAGACATACCCTATGTAACTAGTGCAGAATTGGTGCTATAGCCAGGCCCTTCCCCTCACTGACAAGAATCAGGTAAATAGGAGGCAAACATACATGTTGAGACTTGTCTCAATACAAACTTCTTTGTAACGTTAACCCAAAATGGAACACATAGCACTGTTTCTCCAGAATTATGTATTTTATTGAAATGATAAATTCTCTCATATAGTGAATGACCATGAAGTTTGATGCTTTCTCTAGGGCTTGTTATATGAAAGCAGAATTACTGACAAATATATAAAATACACCTTCACTATTTAAATGATATAAATTATTCAATTGTTAGTTAAAAAAAATCAAACTTACAGTTCATCTAACTTCTGAAGAGAGGAAAAGCTGTTTTCATTTAAGGACCTGATTTTGTTTCTTCTCATCACTCTGAAAGTATAAAAACAAACTTATGCATCTTGAAATTTGTTTGTTTTCTGAGAAGACTGTGATACATAATCAAATAATTGCTTACATTCTATACCATGGGTTCCCAAACCGGGGGGGGCGTGAAGAAATCCCGGAGGGGGCGCAAGGTGATCTAGCCACATACACCCCTGTCAATCCCACCCCAAGTTTTGCTGCTATTTTGGGAGGGGGGAAGGTTGAGGGTTTCTCAAAAATCAAAAAGGTGGCGTGATGCTGAAAAGTTTGGGAACCACTGTTCTATACAATTTTGCATATTCTGTCTTTAATTTGTATCTTGTTTTAAAAAGTTTCATCTTATTTAATTATTCACTGCGTTAAAAATATACCAAATTATTACAAGTTTATACATTTTAATATTCTGTAAACAGTTGTAAAGTGAATATGTAGCACATATTAGCTATTTCCTTTTCTAGTAGTGTTTGTATCTACTAACATCCAAAGTTATTCAGAAATGTCAAATCTCTTAATTTTGTATGCCAAGTGACAATATGATGGTGTTAAATGCTGATTATTTGAAAATTTGTGACATTTGGTTTTATGACTGAAACATATGTAAAAAGCATGAAAGTCCAAATCCAAAGTGTGATTATTCCTGAGAAATTGATCATCAAGTATTTGAGCTTGCACTTTGTTCACCAAAACCTTCCCAATACCCATGGAATAATCAGGGGAGAGCTGGGTAGGAAAGAGACAGCTGAGAGGGAGACGTATAGAAGAAATGAGAGCCTCAGCAGGGAGTGAAGGGGAACTAGATTATTGCAATGGCTCTGAGGAAGCTTTGGGGAAATCCTACCATGTCTCGGATGAGCAACCTGACTGAATGATATTGTCCACCAATTTGCTCAGTTCATATGGTAGATTTTTTTTTACATTTATTGCATAATTCTATATGTATATTTCTAAATTTTGGAATTTCATGCTGTTCATCAAGTTCACTTAAATGATGTCAAGCGGCATTAATCAATGGTGAATTTTGCCTTATATTCATGGAATAATTCTACTTTGTGCATAATTAATGTTTAGCATTTTAATAATCTCCATCAGTTTTAAGCACCAACAATATTTTGGAAATTTGATGTTGAGCATTGTGCATAATGTAACAGTTGTCCACCACCACTGTTCATTCTGGCCACACAGAATGTGCTATTACTTACAGTACAGTTAGAGTGTTGCAGGAGACGAAAGTGACATTTCTTAAATTATATATATGATTGCCTTCAAAGTCCCTAGGAGATAACACCAAAACATTTTATTACTGAAAAATGTTAATTGCAATCAGATGGTTACTTTGAAATAATTATTTATTAAAGATGAACCTCAGAAGAACTGTAGGACTGCACAAAGTGTAAATCTTGGGTGTTTCATTTTTCAGCACACCCTTAACTCCTTCAGGTGACAGCAGTGTCATCAATTGAGATGGATGAAAATCTGGATCCTGAACTCAGGTTTTGATAGATATAATAGAGACTAAGGCAGGGGTGGGCAAAAGGGCTTCCACGGGCCAGATCCAGCCCACCAAGTGGGTTGATCCTGCCCACTGAGGCCCTGCCACTCCGCTGCCCCCGGGCCAGTTAGGGGGAGGACGGAGGAAACTTCACGCGCTCCTCCTGCCCCAGGCCAATTGGTGCCTGGAGGCAGGGAAGCACAAAGCTTCCTCCCACCCTGCCAGGAGCATGCAGCGCTTTGAAGTGCCATGCGCTCCTCGCAAGGCAGGAGGAGACTTCATGGCTCCCCTGTCCCCAAGCCCTGATTGGCCAGGGGGCAGGAGGAGCACGTGAAGTTTCCTCCACCCTCCCCCACAATTCTGCGAGTAGTGCGTGGCACTTCCAAGTGTCGTAAGATTGCACAGGGCAGGGGCAGGGTGAAAGAAGCTTTGTGCAGCTCCCCCACCCCCAGGCCCTGATTGGCCTGGGGGCAGAGAAGCGTGTGAAGCCTCTTCCCATCCTGAGAGCAGCGTGTAGTACTTTGAAGTGCCACAGTGCTCCACACAGTGTGGGGTAGGGTGGGAGGAGGCTTCGCGCACTCCCCCGCCTCCAGGCCCTGATTGGCCTGGAGGTGGGGGAGCATATGAAGCCTCTTCCTTCCCCGCTAGGGGCATAGGTGCCTTGTGGGAAGAGGGGGCAAGGAGGCTACCCCAGACCAATCATGGTCTGTGGGTGGGGAAGCCAAGCAACATCATAGCCCTGCTCTTTCTGGTTTAGGCCCCGCCCCTTCCGGGCGGCTCATGGCCACTTCAAAAGTGTTTGCCCACCCCTGGAATAAGGGCTTGTCTGTACTTATGGAGATTGATCTTCTAGAGTTCAATTTAGAACAGGTCTAGTAAAGGCCTGCTAAATTGACCGCAGATGGTGCCCCCATTGACCCTTGTACTCCACATGGTTGAAAGGAGTTTCTCCCATTGATTTCCCACTGTCGGGATGCTGCAAAAATTCATCTTAAGGTACATTGACTCCAGCTATACTATTCATGAAGCTGGAATTGCATATTGACGACACATATCTTAAGTCACCTTTCTCCCTAAGCATAGACCTGGCCCAATTCTTTTTGTTTACTAAACCTGAGAACCAAATTATGCTTGGCTGCCCTAAGGATCATGGTCTTGACGGGGAAAGAACTCAAGGAGACCCTTGTATATAATGCTTCCAGCAGGATACAACCATAATTTAGCTGCCTACTCACCATGACTCCACAATTCTCCTAGAAGAATTCAACATGCCTCAGGAGTCTGGCTAGATGGGCTGGCATGAAATGGGGATGTTTGTTTTGCCACATCCCTTGTATTACTTTAGTAAAAAGTGTCATGGAACAACACCAATGTAAAGAAGACAAAAGTTGAATATATAAAATAAAGCCTTACAGCCAATGTAGTCTGGGCATGTGTTGGCAAAGAGGTTTATCAGGCAAACGGGCAAGAGAATTATTCAACAGTGCTCTGGAAAAAGAAAAATTGTATTGATATAAATTGATGTTAAAGAAAAGCCATGTCCCCTTTTATAGTTTTACTGCTTCTCAGTACAAGGAAGGCTGAATTTATTCATTATTTTCATATTGTTAAGAGATAAAAAATTATTAATTTTTTTCAGTGTATTTCCTTAGGAATACTAGTATGATCCTATCATCTCTTGAATTACTAAATGATTGACTTGGAAAGGGGAAATTATTTGCAGAGGTTGGGGCAGATTCACTGGTATACTCTGGTTGTCTTGCATTACTAGAGCAGCACAAAGCAACTGAAGTGCATATGTGAATCAGATCCCATTTATCTTTTTAATATTAAATCTACAGCCTGACAGTTTTCCCACTGAATCAATAGGAGTGAGGCTTGGTCCTTGTTTATATTCAGCAACACTTTAAAAATGGTGGCGCCCGGGAACATGCAAATGAAGCCCAGGATATTTAAATCCCAGGCTTCATTTGCAACTCCGGTTGCCCTCATTTGCTTACCTAGCCTGAACTAGTGTAGACATACCCTTAGGGTGTGACTAGACAACACCCTTCTGTCAGAATAAGCTACGCAATTTGCACTACACAAATTGTGTAGCTTATTCCAAGTCTGTCAGAAGATCTTATTTTGAAATTTGGCGCTGGCTACACAGCACCAAATTTCAAAATAAGGCACTATTCCAACAAAACCCTTAGACCTCAAGGAATGAGGGTTGCAGGGATGCCAGAATAGTGTGCCCCCTATTTCAGAAAATAGCGGATGCTTTTAAAGATGCAGCGTTGCTATTTCAGGATACTTCCAGTATCCTAAAATAACAACACAGTCTAGACATACCCATAAGGTCAACTATTAATAATGGGCACTGACCATTCTGGTCACCGCTGAGAACTCAGATAGACCAGAGGTGCCCCTTCCCCTTTTTAAAGCCTTGCAAATTTTTAAAATTCCTCTTCCTGATGACCTGGCTTCTTGAGTGTACTTATCAGCCTTCTATTGTGTAGTATTACTACCCAGAAGACCTTGCAATCTGTGTTTACAATGCTCATGACAAAAGTGCTGAGTATGTGCAGGTCCAATGCTTCTATAGGAAGGATGAACATGGTGGTGGGAATTTGAAAAAAGGTATGAAAATTATGGGATGAAGATGAAATCATGTGCTGGAGAAACTGCATTGTGCAAAGTTGACCCCGTGCTCCTACTCATCGCTGTGCGACTTTGTTTCAGCTCCATCAGGTGTTGCAGAAACTTCCCAAAAGTCCCTGCACTTAATGATGGCAATTTGCACAGTGGGATACCTATTCATGGTGCAGTGCACTCTGCATTGATACAAGCACTCCTGGTAAGGACACTCATTGCTGACACAAAGAGCCAAGAGTACACGGGCACAAACAATTCAATAGCTTAGGGGGCTGTAGCCTGACAAATAATGTATTACAGACAAGGCCAAAGGTAGAGAATGATGTGCAGCTGATTAGTTTCTTATGTGCCTTTTGAAAAGCAAGGACGTAGAGCTCAATTCTCATCCTTTTGAGTTCAGTCAACAATAGAGGACCCAGGTACTTTAGTATATGAAAAAGCCAGGTTTTGGGGCGAGGAGAGGGAATTCAGTTCCTCAAAATAAGCTCCACTACCTGAAAGACTTGACAATATAACTTGACAAACAAAATTTTATAAATACACATTAGTTTTCATCTATTCTCTTTAAAAAAACAAAACAAAATACACTGCATTTAATTCATATTTCAATACCTACAGGAGAATAAGTGAGTTGAGTCCATGAAATGTTAGTGGAGAGATCTGACTGATCTTGTTATTTTCAATTATCCTGTGAATCAGAATAAAGCCTACATCAGACTGATATATCACTGAGGTCTGAAACTGAATAGACATTCGCAAAAATAATGTACCTTGATGTAGCATTATTCAAATACCTATTTGAATTACATAGGAAAACTGAATTAGAGTATTGAAGCTTCATCAGATGACATGTAGTTCACATGATTTGAAAGAGGTTTTTTAACTTGATAAGAAAATTGCTCTTGTTTTTAACTTTTAAACCAATGTCACCAGCACTTTGACACCACACAAAGAATTTCTTCAAAGTAGCAGTATATAAAAACATCCCTAACAAATTCTGCAATTGAATATGCACAGTAAAATGTTGTCAGTCATTCTTCATCAGACAGATAGGCTATTAATGCCCTCAAATCTCAATGCTTTTTTTCTTCAAATCCCACTGCCAAAAAAAGCAGTAATACCATCAAGATTTCATATTATGAATACTATCCCCACTATGGGATTTCAAGTACCCTATACAGAGAAAGGGCTTTTCAAGAAATTCCATTCTAAAAAGATCCATATCTGTCATTTTGGAACATCTCCTTTATTTTATGTATTAGTCTGTGGTAAGCAGTTACTTATAACTTCAGTATGTACTACTTAAAAATAAGCGACAGCGCTTTTTACCCATTGTCCATATCTACACTAGGAGATTAGTCCAAATTTACTAAGTTCAACTTCTGAGCACCTGATATTACAAATTCAAAGTTCTGTGTTCTCACTATGGGGAAGGATCAAATGTAGTCCGAGGAAGGCTCCATTAATGTGTATGTGCTACCTCGGAGTCAAGTCCCAGGAAGTACAGTACTCTGAGGCAGGGCCGCATTATGACTTTTGTGGGCCCTAGGCACTTTTGCCTCTGTGGTCTCTAGGACCTTAGTCCAAAATTAGTTCCCTTCCCTCCCGGTTGAATTTGTAAGTAATGCGTCCACACTGTCAAGCCTGTTATTCCAGAAAAGGAGGTCACAGAATTTTAACTCTGTAGTCCTGCTTTTCATGAGGAATAATGCTATTCCCAAACTTGAGTCCAAAATAACATTAATGTGGATGTTCCGGTGCCACTAATTTGAACTTAATGGCCTCTGGGAGGCTTCCCACAGCCCCCAGAGCAGGGCCGACTTATCCATTAGGGTATGTCTACACTAGCCCCCTAGTTCGAACTAGGGAGGCTAATGTAGGCATTCGAAGTTGCAAATGAAGCCCGGGATTTAAATTAGGAGTAAAGGTAGTTTGAATTAGAGATCCTAATGCGAACTACCTACTCCATGCCGTATGTAGCCGTGGGCACGGAGTTCGGACTAAAGGGGATTTAAAAATGGCGGCGCCCGGGAAGATGCAAATGAAGGCCGGGATATTTAAATCCCGGGCTTCATTTGCAACTTCGAATGCCTACATTAGCCTCCCTAGTTCGAACTAGGGGGCTAGTGTAGACATACCCTAATGGATAAGTCGGCCCTGCTCTGGGGGCTGTGGGAAGCCTCCCAGAGGCCATTAAGTTCAAATTAGTGGCACCGGAACATCCACATTAATGTTATTTTGGACTCAAGTTTGGGAATAGCATTATTCCTCATGAAAAGCAGGACTACAGAGTTAAAATTCTGTGACCTCCTTTTCTGGAATAACAGGCTTGACAGTGTGGACGCATTACTTACAAATTCAACCGGGAGGGAAGGGAACTAATTTTGGACTAAGGTCCTAGGGTAGACCAGGCCCTTGGGAGTAAAAGGAGACCCTTAATTATCACACTGTATACAAAGAACTGTTACATGGATAAAAAATATTTTTGTGTGCTGCCGTAACTATTTCTTGAGACAATTTATACAAAAATAAGAACAGTACATACAGCCACTCAAGCTTGTGCAGATCTTCAAATACACCAGGCTTTAAAAAGGTTATCTTGTTGTAACTCAGATACCTGAAACAACATCAATAAAGATAAAAAGTAGACTTGCCAATCCGTGAAGAATTGTAAGATTTTCCTTTATTATTCCTAAGAGTACTGTTAAATTGCATCCTCAAGAAATTCTATTGTTTACAATAAAACATTTAACTTTGTGTGACTATGATCACACACTGACCCTTGATCTCTTTCAGGAAGCTAGTGTTTGTCCCGTAGCAGCCTGACTTTCTGATTAAAGATATGGCTGCATGAACAACAGTGAAGCTACTCCACCTGGAACTTTTTGCCAAGGATAATCTAGAATTCCTTGATTTTTTTTTCTGTTAGAAAACCAGTCACCAACTCGCCAATTGCGATCAACTGGTCAATTGCGGGGGCACGACCAGTCAATCATGAGGTGTTCCAGACCCTCCCTCCATTCTCTCTCCCTGGCCAGACCCCCATCCAGCACCCTGCCCAGACACCATCGAGCACCCTGCCCCTGCCTTGTGGCCAGACAACCACCAATACCCTTTTCTTGCTCCTTTCCTCCTGGCCAGACACCTACTCCTAGCTTGCTTCTGTAACCTATTTTTCACCTAGATTCTGCACCTTTCCCACACACTGGATCCCTCATTTTTGGCCCCACCTCAGAGTGTAGAGGGGCCCACAAATTCCACTAACCCAGGAACTTAGAAGAGTTAATCTGGCCTGAGGCCTTGAACCTCAGTCCTACCTACACTCCTCCCCCATGGGGCTGGAGTGTCAGGGGAGTGAGATGTCTCAGTTGGGGTCACATCAGTGAGACTTGGGGGCTTTGGAGGGTTTGTTTTTTTGCATCTCACTTGTGTAGTCCCTGACTGATTTTTCTGTGGGTCAGTGACCCCTGACTCAAAACAGGTTCCCTGCCCTATAAAGACAATGCTGAAACATTTTGTGTTTGACATAATATTTTATTTAAAAATAAAGCCTGGCCAACCAGCCCCCAATTGGGGCCAAGCCTCCATCTGGACACAGCATCATAAGACTCCTGCACTCCCCATAGACCCCAACCCTGAGCCCATCATACACCTGAACCCCCTGTCCTGAGCCCCTCATCCCCAAACTCCTGCACCCCCACATCCTCAGTCTTCTGCCACAACACTCCTGTATCATCCATACACTGCAAATCTATGTCCTGAACCCATCATGCTCCCAACTTCCCTGCCCTGAGCCCCTCACGCACCCCAACCCAAACTCCTGCACCCTCACATCCACAAGCTTGTGGCTTGCTCAGCACCTCAACCCTCCACCAGATCCCAACACTCTCCAGCCTGCAGCCCCTTCTCTGAGCCAGAATCTCCTTCTACAACTCCTTCTGCACCCAAATTTCCTCCCAGAACTTGCACCTCTCACCCCTTCCACACCAAAATCCTTCATTCCCACCCCAAAGCCTGCACCTCCTGTCTCAACCCAGTGAGAGTGAGTAAGGGCTGGGGATAGCAAATGATGGACAGGAGGAGAATGGAGAGGGCGGAGCCTCAAGGAAGGGGTGGAGTCTTGGGGAAGGTATGGGGTAGATCTTGGCTTGCCCTGACATTTAAAAAGTGATCTTAGGTGTAAAAAGGTTGGAGACCACTGCTCTAATACCTTTCCTGCATCAGAAACATTTGAGGCCTGGTTCAGCTTCCATAGAAATCAATGGCAAAGTATCAATGGTCTAAAATGGGAACAGGTATAGGGATCAGTAGGCATAATTTTGGATAATGAAAAAGACTGAAAAATAAAGAGCATCACTACAAATTGTCCATAGTAATAGTAATAATAATAATAATGAACTATCATCCAAAACTGGGGTGAAAAATACAAGTAAGATAATGACAGATTTCGAATTATAAGTAATTTCACTAAACAGATTTTTTTTTCTGAAACCTCACTCACTGGCCAAAAGTATTTTAAATTGGAAAAGAGTCATCTTTTGTAAAATCTGCTGCAGAATAAGAAACAAGAGTCCTGTCTTTATGTAATTACTTCTCTATAGAAAAATAAGCATTTTCAATGATCTCAAATTAAACATGGCAGCTCTACTGTTTTCATTCCTAGCTCTTAATTCCTTGGATAACTGGCATTTAAAATCACTGAGGTTTCTTCTTTTTCTTTCTGGAACAGCACATTTTGGTGTTAGAGACAGATTACAAAAGCTGAGAGAAGTATTTTGTATTTCCTACCAAATAACCTTGCTATCACTAGTTCAAATCCTCTGAACTTTTTAGTGAGGATAAGAGCTCAAAGAAAAAATGGAGTTCAGGATTTGGCATGGTTCAGAATTATCTAAAGTTCAATACAAATGAAAGAGAAATCTATAGGTCTTTTCAAAAGTAGCCCCATTCCACATTGTTCCAATACTGCAATGGTGATATAGTACTTACAGTTTTGTTAGGTTGTATAATCCTCTAAAAGCGTGTTCCGATACAGCCCTAATTTTATTATTCTGAAGATACCTGGGAAGACATAATAATGGCAACAGTTAATTTGGTAAAAATGGAAATGGAAAAAGATCCCCAAACTTGTCAACTACATTCCAAACTTAGGTACATATATTATTTAAAGGATGTTGTCAAGGTGGCTGAGTCTTAAAATTATACTTGCACGACAGCTATTTCACATGGATATTTTAGCTTAAATATTTCAGAAATTATATTTAAATTAAAAAAAATCCTTTGCTGAAGTGATAATTCAAAATCAGCCAAAACAAACATCTGACATGCTTTGCATTCATTGTAAATGAAGCAGTACATACATGCAGCTTCCTGATTTTATCCCTAATCATGTAATCTGATCTGTGTAAGGAAACATTTATACCTGTGCAGAGCCCTACTATAGTCAAAAGGCATCTATGTGTGCAGGACCTGTCCCTGCATACAAGATTATAAAACCGGGATAATAGAATGCATGCCATGGTCTGTTTATTACTGATGTATGTAGACAGTTGTGGGATTGATGTCATTCTTGTTAATGCCTGCAGAAAAGGTTAATTAAATATTTTGCTGGAATTTATAATGGGGGACAATTTTCAAAGGGCTGCCTTGTAAGGTAATTTAAACACAAAATATGTTTCTACTGGCTGATTGTTGCTCACTGAAGGAATTATGCATACTTTCCCCCTTTTTTGCTCCATCTCCTTTGCAATTATTGAACTGAATTTCAGAATATTACATATGGTATAATTACTTGTGATAAGATGTTAAGACTGGCATTTTTTTAATTTGCTTCCCTCTCTATACATTGTTTTCTTTCCTAGTTGTGAAAAATATCTTTTCAATAAAATCAAGTACTGAACAGGATTCAGACTTGCTATTGTTGAAATCAATAGGAGATTTGACATTGGATTTGACATGACTGAGCTCAAAAAGATCTTATCACATTGTGAGAGATCCCTTAGCAAACTCACACTTGTGAATCAGAAGTAAATGAAAGGAATTAAATTCTGTAAGCAAAAGTGTAATATATATATTTCCTTTAATGAAACAAGACACTTGGTTTATGGAATTATTTTAGTTAGAGATCATAACTGTACTTAAGTTTGGGAACACAAGATGGTGCTGTATAACTCATAATTCAAGTTAGTATCTAAGAAAGTTTTAAGAAAAACATTGTCTATGTCTTGAGCTGACAACAATGAAGGTGATCCTATGTGTTCACACTTTATTTCTCAAATGTCTCTTATTTTTCATGATTCACCTATATAAAAGGACTGGGGATTTTAAAAAAATGTATACAGAACATGTATAGTACTATACAAGAAATAATTCAGTCAAAAGATTTTGCCATAGTATAAGCCATTTTTTGGTAGTCGGCACCAGGAAGAACTCATCACCAAAAGGCTCAGAAATGTGATTATTTTGAAAAAAAAAAACCTGTTCTTAAAGACATGAACAAGCATTTCCATGGAAAAGAATGCTTTTTTTGTAATATTGAGTGAAACTGTTTCAGTTTCCTTTAATTTCTTCTGACATATTGCTGTTTGTTACAAATTTAATTTACTTAAGACATGACAGAAATTAAGATCCACATTGTTATTACTTTTAATGTACAAAATTCCAGATGATAAAAATGTAATGTCCAGAAAGTTTAATCTGCAAAAAAGAGATGAAAGCCACATCAGGCTTAGGGATGTTAAGGACTAGTCAACTATCTGAGAAGCAAATGCTTATCTGATAGTCAGTTGACTAGTCGATTCCCCCCCCCCCCCCCCCCCCCCCCGTCTCTCCTCCCCCCCCCCCCCCCCACCCCTTGCTGCATCTATCAGATAGAGGCAGCAAAGTGGGGGAAGAGGAGGTATTTCAAAGCGGCAGTGCCACACAATTGAGTCTGGGATCAGCCGTGAGGCGCTGCGGCTTTCAAACGCTGAGGGGAAGTATCCCTGCTTCCCCCCTTTGCTGCCTCTATCTAACAGAGGCAGAAAGAGGGGATTGGGGGGGTGGGGGAAATTGACTAGCTGATTGACTATCCGATAAGCATTTGCTTCTCAGATAGTCGACTAGACCTTAACATCCCTAAGCCTGATGTGGCTTTCGTCTCTTTTTTGCAGCTTAAACTTTCTGGACATTACAGCTGATCTGCATAATCGGAAATTTCATCTACGAGTAAGAAACAGGAAATCTTTTAGTATAATCAGAGTGTTATCAATAACCCATGAAAATTCCTTAACCCAGTTTGCTGTTATTTAAGGTTTTAGGTTAAAAAAATTCCTTACAGATTTTTAAGGTCCTGGTACTTCTTGAAACTATCAGCTGTGAGTTTTCTTATCTGATTCCATTGAAGGGACCTGTAATAAAAATAAAATTACTCTGTACATATACTAAGAAGGCCAAATTAATCACTAACACAACTCTGCCAACTTTATATTTTCTCTAATGAATTTGTACTGAGTTTTATTTAACAGACATGGCTATAACAAGTTAAATATTTCCAGTAAGATGATCCTATATTCCAATATGTATACATGTTTATTTTGAAAATTAAATGGAAATGGGATTTTTTTGTTGTATACCCTTCTTGCCTGCCTCTGCATCATATTAGGTTATTGTAATCCATTTACATAAAAGGATTTATAGTTGGGAGGGAAATAGGGAAGGGTGTTGAGGCTCACTTTTCGTACATTTCTGGGCTACCTTTTGGTTTGAATTTCAAAAGCACTGTGTCCCCCCCTTGTATGTATAAACTCACATTGGTTACACACTATGCAGCAATTGTAAAATGCAATTAAAGGGCCACAACTAATCTTACTGTAAAAGCCTAGAGCTGTGTCTAGACTGGCAAGTTTTTCCGCAAAAGCAGCTGCTTTTGTGGAAAAACTTGCCAGCTGTCTACACTGGCCGCTTGAATTTCCGCAAGAACACTGACTTTCTACTGTCTGAAGTCAGTGCGCAAAGCTTTTGCACAAAAGGGCCAGTGTAGACAGCTCTGATTTGTTTTGCGCAAAAAAGCCCCGATCGCGAAAATGGCGATCGGGGCTTTTTTGCGCAAAAGCGTGTCTAGATTGGCATGGATGCTTTTCTGCAAAAAGTGCTTTTGCGGAAAAGCCTCTGTGCCAATCTAGACACTCTTTTCCACAAATGCTTTTAACGGAAAACTTTTCTGCTAAAAGCATTTGCGGAAAATCATGCCAGTCTAGATGTAGCCCAGGGGTATGTCTATACTTGAGTGGGAAGATATTATTTCCAATTTGAGGAGACATAGCTGCACTAGCACTGACAGAGCTAGTATGCTAAAATAAGCATAGCTGCAGCAGCACAAGTGGTGGGAGGGATTAGCTGCCTGACTACAAACGAGTATGTACTCAGGTGATTATCCCTTCCTGCCACTTGCACCGCTGTGGCTACATGTCTGTTTTTAGCATGCTAGCTCCATCATAGCTAGTGATGTGTCTCCTCTAGCTGGAAATCATACTCTCTAACTCCAGTGTACACATACCCTAACAATATAAGTCCTGTAGACCCAGATCAGCTTTGAGAAATATTCAGTGTTCTCTTTACCTTACTCCACTTTCACGAACATCCCCACTTAGGGTGTCACATAACAACTACTGTCCTTCTGGCCAAAGATGACTGGAAGGAACTCACTTTGGGCCTTATTCATTGGCATGCGCATGGGGTGTGCTGGGTGTGCCTAGGCACACCCTAATGTCTCGGGCCGCCTCGCCTGAGCCATTTTTGCACCCTGGGCCCCACCCAGCCCGGCAGTACCGTGAGGCCCAGCAGCACGGCTCAGCACCCCTGAGGCGCCCGGGAACGCCCCCACCCAGCACTGCAGCCCGGCGCGGTGCCCTTGAGGATGAGACTACTGTCAAATAACCAATAGCTCAGGGTAGACACTCTTAGCCCTACCTGGGGACTCAATTTGCTTCTGAATCCTCTCTGCCTGCCCCTGTGTGAAGGGTGAGCAGAGATTACTAAGAACAGACCTCAATTGATAAAGATTTCAGATCTCTGTTACTCCTATAGGCACAAGTGACATTCGCATTTACCTCTGAGAGCTGGCCATTTATCCACACTAGAGACTGGCTGCAAGGTGTGATGCACTAAGTGCTATCTTCTTCCAAGTCCTATTGCTTGACCCAGCTGTGCCTCCACTGGCAGACCTACACAGCCAGCAGCAGCCCACGGCAACAAGCCTTCAGGCCCTCGTCGGCAGATTGGGGCTCATAGTACAGCTGTATAGACAGCACTTTGAGGTTGTGTCTCAGGCTCTGAAGCCTACTCCTTCCTTAGGTTTCAGTACAGATTGGACCTCCCTTGTCTGGCACTCTCAGGACCTGACCCATCCCGAAGGAGGGAATGTGCTGGATTAGGGGAGGTCCCTGCCACCATACTCTCAGGATGCACCTCTTCCCTGTGGCTGGCTCTGCTTCAGCTCCACTGCCACTGGGCTCCAGCTTGCAGGACTTGAACTTGGGCTCTGACCCATAGGGGCTCCCTGGAGACAGAGCTCCCCAGCTATAGCAGGCCTGCTTCTCTCCCACCTGCCTGGGAATTCATGGGGAGACTTGCTGGCTGCTGCGCTTATGCTGCGCTCCACAGGGGATCTCCTGTGATGGGGCTTGCCAGTTGCACTTCTTTTGCCACTGGCTGCATCGCTGCTGTTCCACCCAAATGGGGCTTCCCAGGAATGGGGCTTGCTGGTCCTGCTGCTGCCCCACCAAGCCAAAGCTCCCCGAGGATGGGGCTCACACTTCTGGGGGCCAGGGCTTGCTGATCCAGCAACATCTGTGGTCTGTCTGGCAGGACCACAGATGTTGCCAGACCAGTGAATCCAGGATTTTGGAGGTTTAACCTGTAGTAGCTGCTATTGGTGCTGAAGGGTATAGGGTGCGATTGGTGCTGTAGTAGCTGCTATTGGTGCTGTAGGGTGAGTCCTGCAAGCCAGAGTCTGCTGACATAGGCTCAGAGGCTCACTGCTGAACAGACATACCCTATAATGCCATGACTGTGGTGAAAAAAAAAATCCATCAGATCTTGATTGTTTTGTCCAATTGGAAAAATTCCTTCCTGTTACCAAAACAACTGAGGTGAGGGAGGGTTATTTGGTTTTTGCATGCCCCATCTCCAACGTATTTACATTCTCCAACTAGTAGGAGCAACAGAATTATGAAGCAATCTTTCTTGCTGTCCAGGCTGCTGGTGTATGGCTTCATGCAAGCAAAGGGTACACTGGGTCCCCCTGGATCACAATTAGCATTTCAACATAACTAATGGTTATTCTATAGTCTGGAAAGAAATTTCCTGCTTGCTGATTTCTGAACAGACATGTATTCCTAAAATGACCATGCCATGAACCTTTCCATCCATTCACCAGTGCTTGTAACACCACTGAGAAGTACTCCTTATGGTTTATGTATTCTTTGGCCAGGTGGTCTGCTGCATGCTGTTTCTCACCCCACCGCAGTTAGGAAACTCCACCCTGGCAATAGCATCCACTCTGTCCTACATGTTGCCCAAAGTTGTTACCCTTCTTAGCAGAAGCCTGATAATGGTTCTGTAATCTTGGATCGCAACAGATCTCATGGCAGATTTACCTACTCCAAATTGATGCCTGTCATTTCAAGCAGTTTGGTATTTCAAGCTTCCACAGGGCTATCATCACTTGCTTGTCCACTGTCAGTGCTGCTGTCATTTTAGTATTGCTGTACTTTGAGGCTGGGGAAAGCTCTTCACAGCAGATCTCGGAAAGTGCTCTTAGGCATTCAAAAGTTCTGCATCCTATAGCTGCATAAAAATGTGGTCCCACCATTCAGTGCTTGTTTCCTGGGCCCAGAAAAGGTGCAAGATAAGGCAAGAGGTGTTTGTAATGCTCACAAGAACAGTGTACAGCTAGGGTCCATGCTATTTGTGTGATAGAGCCTGTGTAGGTAACCCCAGAAAGAGGCTTGGCTTGCTGCCAGTGTTTTCAAGAAGGGAGGGAGATAAGTGCATCATGGGAGGTTAACACCATGTTGCCATAATCACATAAGGCATTACAAGCCCAACCCAAAATTCCACTCGACTATGTGCAATGTGCGATAGCTACCCGCAGTGCAGTGTTCTATGCATTGATGCAAACCACTCTGATGAGGGTGTACTGTCAACACAATGAGCTTAGCATGGTCACACAAGATTGACTTGCTTAAATCAGAGGCATAATGGTGACTCACATAAAGTTGATGTAACTTCTTAGTGTAGATGTGGCCAAAGTCTGACTTGACAAATGGCAGCATGTTTAAACCCAAGAATTCAAAAAATTAGAAGATAAATCTCTTTGGTTTGAGTTTATTTATAACCTAAAATGCACATGAAACCTACCCTCCAGCGCATGTACCTCTGTGCCCCACATGGCCATTAACAGCGCCACTGCAAGTAATTCCATGTCCTGAAAACAGCAAGAAACTTTACAGAAAAAAATCTTCAGGTGGGGATGTTTGATGCTGCTTTTTGTTTGCCAGGAAGGAAGCACAGCTTCCCGCTTTAGTGTGTAAGCCAAGACAAGAGGTCAGGCCACCTCTTGTCCCTCCTCCCCCCAATCTCTCTGAAATCATAAGTCTTGTTATATTGAGTTCTTGTCTTGAGGTAGTGAGCAAAATCCCCACGTCTAGGCCCATATTCATGCAGGCAATTCTTTGAATTCCAGGTTATTGTTATAATTACAGATTACTTGCAGAAGTAAGTGTTTCCAGACCAGCTCCTGAGCATGTGTGAATCACAAAGTTATTTCTCTTGCAGTATTTCTTGATGCTGGTGAAATTGTACTCTTTTGAGCCATTACTGCAAACAACAGCTGACCCAGACTCTCTGTATCTCAAACTTTGAATTGCGTTTTAATTTCTTTTCTCTTATTTTATGCAGGGGTAATCTGTGTTTTGTCACTGCAGAGTGAAACCTTACTTGAAGTTTACATCAGTTTCAGTTATGCCAAGTGGCTATAATTAAAAGGATATAATTATGAGATGTTCTGAAGAGTTGATATTCAATGCTGCTCAGATCAAGAAGCTGCTTGTTCTGCTCTACTTACATCAGAGTTACATTTGAAGAGACCGAAGGGACAGCGCGTAAATTGGCACCATCACAGTCAAGCTCTAGCCCTCGGCACAGGCATTTAGCTGGCACAGAATCAACCACTGAATGAAGAGAAGATAGCGGTCGTGGCAAAAGGTGGGTGGTGGGGTAGGTAAAAAAGAGGTGGGTAGAAAAACAACAGTTAGTATAACAATATGTCAGAGAACACTGAAGCGAGCTGGGAAATGCTTCACTTTAAGGTTCTCACGTACACATGTAATTTAGATCTAGTTAGACAGTAACTGACATAAATACTGATAATTAAAAAAGATTGGTAATTACTCCTGAGACTAATACAATAGCAGCACATTTGGAACACATCTCTGAGCTTGATATTGTGGTAGTAGCCTGATGTGGTGGGAAGGATGTTTTATCTGGGTCCTATTTCTGTGAAATCCTAAATCCATCATTTGCCTGACTCCCAACCAGATTAGTCAGTATGGGTATGTCTACACTACCCCCCTAGTTCGAACTAGGGGGGGTAATGTATGCATACCGAACTTGCTAATGAAGCCCGGGATTTGAATTTCCCGGGCTTCATTAGCATAAAGCCAGCTCCGCCATTTTTAAAAGCCGGCTTGTTCGAACCCCGTGCCGCGCGGCTACACGCGGCACGGGCTAGATAGTTCGAACTATGTAGCCATTCCGATCTATTTGTACGCCTCGTGGAACGAGGTGTACAGATAGTTCGGATTAGGAAGCCTAATCCGAACTATCTAGTCCGTGCCGCGTGTAGCCGTGCGGCACGGGGTTCGCACTAGCCGGCTTTTAAAAATGGCGGCGCCGGCTTTATGCTAATGAAGCCCGGGAAATTCAAATCCCGGGCTTCATTAGCAAGTTCGGTATGCATACATTACCCCCCCTAGTTCGAACTAGGGGGGTAGTGTAGACATACCCTCTGTGTTCAATTTTCTGTATATAAGATTGTGAGCTTTTATTTTTAAGTAAGGAGACCTAATCTGAATGAAATGTGCATTTCATTCAGCTTTACAAAATCTTTCTAGTGTATTTCACGTCTGGTTCTTCAATTAAGTCAGTTTGCACAAAACCACATTCAGTTAAATAAAAACTGACAGGCAATACCAAGATGTGTTTTTCCTTTTGGTCCCTGTAGTTTGTACCATCAACTGTTCTGTGCACATGAACAATCCTGATAATTTCTGTTTGTTTTGTTATGTTTTTCTACAACTGTTAGTATTTCAAAAGGATAAGATATTCGGCACAGTGATTACTGCAGTGAGGAAAGATGGTTAAGCCTCTTGGTTCAGAAATTGAACTGCCCAATTCAGAACCACTTAAACTAGATATTTTATTTTTTAACATTTTCCAGTGCAGAAAAAGTTAATCGAAAAAATATTGACACAGTACTTGTGGAAAGAAATAATATCTGCTCTTTTTTTATTCCTCAAGATGTGAAGCTATAAGCTATATGTCCTTTGGTGAGTGTGATGCAAAAGTCAATAATTGTGTCTTCTCTTAATCCTAGCTCTGCACAGAGTAGATAGTGAGTAATGAGCCTATCTAATGCAGCATGACCCCATTGTCAAGAACGGTGAACAATACACTACCTTAGTTTAATGAATGTAACGCCCACTGAAGTCAATAAGGATTCAGTGCAGAATATGGTATAATAATACAGAAGCAGAACCTCTGGCAATTGACTGATTTCATCTGTTAATGCAATTATGTTACTGAAATCAATGGGCACAACCCAAAAGACCTGATCTAAAAACTCCAGAATTTGAATTTGTTCAAAATCAGCATCTGAATTTTGTTTTGTTTCCATATTCACCATAATACTCCATAGCAAATTGCTAATCACAGTTATATTAGGAACCTGTATCACTCTTTTCTTGGCTCTACATTATCTGAACAGCTTAGAAATTTTAAAAGAAGTACACAGGATGTGAGTTTCTCCCTCTCCCAAAAGAATTGGATTATTTTTCAATATTTATTTATGTATTTATTTTGGTGTGTGGATATTATAAGAAAGCTAGGTTGAGAATTTTTTTTATATTTTGTTCTCAAAGATGTGGGGTCAGGTCATTCCATTTTGAGTTCTAAGAATTTATAACAAGCTCATAAATGGCATATCTGTGATGTTTCTAATAAAGGAATTAATTTTTTTCACAGAGTAACTCACTGTAGCCTGTACGTCACCAATAATGGAATTGAAATTTGCATCAATTCATTGAAATTATATGAGATTTTCATTCTATTTCACTATAAATGGAATTACATTGCAACTGAATATGTTGTAAGAAGATTGCAACATATTTTGTTCTAGGAACTCACTGTAATAAATGCATGAATAACTCATTAGTACTTACAGCACTCAGATGTCTTTGCCTCTAAAGCATATGGCGAAGTCCTTTCATTGTAATTTGCAAAATACTTATCCAGTTGCTGAGACCATCCATTGTTGTCTCCTAATAAAAAAATCAACAGAAGTCATGTTTTACCAAAACAAAACACCCACTCCTTACACCCTTCAAAACATTTCCTACAGATATGACATAACAGGAGCTTCCTTAAATTTGGTTGCATAATTCTTTGCTTAGATTCTTCATTTTTTTTTGTAATGTTATCTGTCAGGGTTTCTCACACACACCAAAAAGGAAAAGGCTCCTACTAGATGGCAGTCTATACGCGTATGTGCGCAAACACAAAGACATACACGTTAAAAATTATGTGCACGTGCCAAGACAAGTTAGTTCTATCTTACAGAAGCCTCATTGGTCTCTTTTTACCTCTCATTTTTAGGATTCAATTATATAATTAATTTTGCTTAAGGAAAAATTGTGGTTTAAGTCCTTTTTTTTCTTTGTCACAACAGTCACAGCAAAACACTGGGGCTATGTCTACACTGTGCATTGTTGCGCAATAAGATATGCAAATAAGGTGTGGGGATGAATATCACTGCTCTTCATTTGCATACCTAATGAACTGCCATTTTTGTGGCATGGGCTTTTGCGCAAGAATAGGCTGTCTACAGTGCTCCTTCTTGCGCAAAAAAACCCTTCTTGCGCAGAGCCTTTCTGCCGCTTATTTTCAGCTGCAAAAATGGCAGCTCATTAGGTATGCAAATGAAGAGCGGCGATATTCATCCCCACACCTTATTTGCATATCTTATTGCGCAACAATGCACAGTGTAGACATAGCCCCAGTGTTTTGCTGTGACTGTTGTGACAAAGAAAAAAAAGGACTTAAACCACAATTTTTCCTTAAGCAAAATTAATTATATAATTGAATCCTAAAAATGAGAGGTAAAAAGAGACCAATGAGGCTTATCCACTTAGTATATTCTCAAATTCTTTGTTCAGTTTAGTTTAAACGATTCATATGAATGGGCACCAGGTTTGTATAATTTTTGGTGTTGCCCAGAACAGGTCCAAGCAGAGCCGTCTTTTCCATAGCATGGATTGGAACAACTGCCCCAGTCCCTGTGCTTTGGGAAGCCCCATGATTCAGGGAGATGTGGGATCTAGGGTGACCTGGAGGGTTAGATGGGGGCCTGGTGCAAGCAGCAGAAAGTGATTTGATCCAGTCCACCCTGTTCTCCCCACTCCTGCTAGGTCCCTGCTCCCATTCCACCTCTTCCTCAAAACCTCCATCCTGTCTTTCTCCAGCTTTCCATGCAATGCTAAGAGCTCACAGAGTGGGGCAGAGAGAAGTCAGGCAGGCTGGGACCAGACAAGGTTGCTTGCTGCTTGTGGTGTCAGGTACCTCTAACTCCCAGGCTGCCCTGGACCCTGTGTCCTCCTGAAACATGAAAAGCACGGTCACCCAAAGTGGTTGCCCCAGTCAGTTCTATGGATGGGATGACTCTGAAAACATAAGCCCAAACTTTGATAGAGCTGGGCCCATGTTCTTAAATACTAGTGGAACACGGGCCCCATGGGCCTATATAACTCACCGTTTATGCTAGGGATGTAAATGGATAGTCAATTAGTCGACTACTTGCATTCTTCCTCCCCCTTTGCTGCCTCTGTATCAGAGGCAGCAAGGTGGGGGGAGCAGGAGCCAGTCCTGAGGGAAGCTGGCTAAAAAACCAGTTCCCCCCAGCACTACTTGCTCCTACCCTGCATTGCTGCTTCTATTAGAGGCAGCAGTGCAGAGCAGCCAGGGAAGCCTGCTCCGGCAGCATCCAATCCAGGCTGGCCGTGAACAGGGGCTGCTGGACCCTGATGTGAGGGGACTAACCAAACCCGGCTTGTGCCTGGTCCAAGAGCTACCCCTGTTGCGGCTCTACAGTTTAAGTGTAGTAGGAGCTGGGCTGCATGCGCGCCTGACTTTTACTACATTTAAACTGCAGAACCACAGTGGGGGAAGCTCCTTCTGAATGCCTTCCCTTATTGACTAAACATGGAGTTGATACAAATTTTATTGATTACCTACTTTTCCGCCCCTTAACAGCCTTAGTCTATGCTCATAAGATGGGACTTCCATAATTTTTCTTGGAAGACTGTTCCACATTGTAATAGACAACATTGTGAGGAAATGTTTCCTGATACCCAGCCTTTCTCTTGCTCAGTGTCTAAATCAAGTGCAGTACTTTTGAGGATGAGTTATGTAACATATTAAAACCAACAAGCATAAAGTAAGATCACCATACATTTCCTTAATTAAAAAAGCATTCAATACCAATGTCTGAAATTAGTTACTGTGCATATACTGGAGCATCTGGTCAAGGACATAAAAGTGAAATAAAGAGCTGTTCTTTTAACTTCTTCCCACCAGTAGGGACTTCCAAATATGGTTATGCAACCAGGAGAGCACTGCTCCTTTGGAAAACTTTCACATATAATTTTTTTCTAGTCAAGTCAAAACTTAATGAAGCGAGAAGACAGTGCTAATATACAGAAAATGGCATCAATTTCCCTGTTAGAGTTGACTGTGTTCAAGTTTCCATTGCCCAAGATGGATTTTGATTTTTCTTTAACTCACTTTTGCCTAAAATTTTTCATTTTGATCAGTTTGGACCAATATCACAACCAATGTCACTAATTTTCAATACAGCCCTCACCACCTGATGATTCAGAACTGTGAATGGTAATTTAAAGTGTTACTTGTAAATGAAACTATATATTTATTGTCAGAAACACTTCTGTTATGTGCTTAGCTAGATGTTTATAGTTTTATTCCAAGAGTCATGAATTTCCAGAAATTCTTCCTCCTCAATTTTATAATTTAGTGTATACTTGATTTCATTCATTGCGGAAGCATTTACAGTCAAGGATCCATAACCACATTTATCAGTTTGCTAATAATGAAAACGTGAAAATAGACCAGAGGTAAATTTACTTACCAACCTGTAATATTTTCTTCTCTGAAATGGACATGTGAATTATTCCTCCTTATCTTCCAGCCATGGAGGGTTCTTATTTTTAACCTCCCCCCACATCTTTATAGCTTAACAGTATAGTGCCAACAGCTGGAGCAGTTCAGAAAACTGATTACTAGCCAAAAACAATGAAAACTTTTGATATTTTGACATGTGTTTTGATTCCAATATAGAATGACATTTTTAATTAAAAGGAGAGAGCATTTTCCCAAGAAAGCCAATAGCTTAGGGTATGTCTACACAGCAAAGTTATTTTGAAATACCAGCCGTTATTTCGAAATAACTTTACTAGCATCTACACAGCCAAACTGCTATTTTGAAATTAATTTGAAATAGCGGAGGGCTTATTTTGAAATTGGTAAACCTCATTCCATGAGGAATAGTGCCAATTTTGAAATTGCTATTTCAAAATAAGCACTGTGTAGACGCTTATTTTGAAATAGGGGGCCTCCCCTGCTGGCCACCCTAGCCCCAACCAGGAAAACTCCTCTCCTCCCCCCACTCCCCAGAGCCGTTAAAGGGGTATACTCTGGCCACAGTGCCTGTGCAAGCTCCAAGCTTGCCAGCCCAGAGCCAGCAGTCGCTGCACCTGACCCAGTGGCCCCAGCATGAGCCAGGCAGCCAGTGCCAGCCAGCCCTTCACTGCTCCTCGGGACCAGTCTGCCAGCTCCCAGGAGCCTGCCAGGGGCTAGAAAAGGCAGACTCCTGCCTGGTCCAGTGTGGAGATCATGGTCCTAATTCAGGTTTGGGGGGATGCCCCCAACATCCATGATCTCCACACTAAATGGAGGAACGCAACTGTCTACAGGCGGATGGCTGCCAGCCTGGCCACCAAAGGCCACATGCGAATCCAGGAGCAGGTTCATATGAAAATAAAGGAGCTACAGCAGGCCTATGCCAGGGCCACAGGGGGCAGCTCCCAACCAGGGGCAGACCCAGACCCTTACCCCTATTTTGATGCCGTGGACCACATCCTGGAGGGAAGGATGGTCCGTGCCCCCCAGGTGGTCATCAACCCTGGGGTAGAGCTTGCTGCCTCCTGCTGCTCCAGCCCCTGCTGCCTCTCCAGCTCCCGCTCCTCCTCCCACTCCTTCCTCCCCACCCTCCTCACACCCCCAGGGACACCGAGGCCCCTGCACCCGTGGTGCTGGGAGACAGTTGGGCCAACGAGACCACCAACCCTGAGCCCTGAGCTTCTCCTTCCCCTTCCTCTCCTTGCCTCCCTCCAGGTTTCCCACCCTCCCTCCTCCCCTCTCTCACCTTCTTTCTCCAGTCTCACCTCAGTTTCATTCCCCCCACCTCAGTTTTGTTCAATAAAGAGGCTTTATTGTAATGAACACATGTTTCTTTTATTGTACATCAGGAAGGGGGGTTAGGGAGGGGTAAATGGAAGGATGTGAGGGAGGAATGAGGCACAAGCCCCCAGTGGGGCACACCAGGGAGACTGTTACTGCCTGCAGAATGTGCTGCCAGGCTCGCAGCAACACGTCTAGGAGAAGCACCAGAGTGCCCAGGGGCGGCTCCGGCTCCATGCTTCAGAGTGCTGTGGTGTCCTGAGTGAAGGCAACCAGAGCATGTAGAGAAAAAAAATGTTTTGCTGACCCTTAGCAAGGTAGGCAAACAAGCAGGGAAACCTTAGAACTGGCTGTCCAGTGGGGTCCCTTTAAACACAGGCCTCAGATAGCCTCAGGCAGCAGTCACACAAGGTAACTCCTGACCTGCTGTCCCGTTAGAACTGGTTCCGACCGGCCTTAAATGTGATTCAGCATCCTATCAGTGTGGACATACTATTTCAAAATAGCAAAATGCTATTTCGAAATGCATTTTGTGTCTAGACACATTATTTCAAAATAAGCTACGTATTTCGAAATAACGCTGTAGTGTAGACATACCCTTAGTGATTAGGGCACTCACATAGGTTCATAGTCTCTACTCTACTTGATTCAGACAGTAAAGTTCTCTAACCATTGGGATATAGAGTTAGTCTGCTTCTGGTCTGGTAAGTGTTTACTTATTTATACAAAGTGGAACATCCTCAAGTGGAAGGATTGAGAGAGAGAGAGAGAGACTGCCAATATAGCCCAG